GAAGCAGTATCAGCAGTGGCGATGATCTCTCTTACTTCTCACAACTTCTCTTTTTACCCCTCTGGTTCTCCTTTATCTACATCTTCCTGTCACTGCCCTCCCAGAGGCCTCGTTACAGTCGCTATCAGATGGGGTGATGGCATTCAGGGGTTTTTTTTTGACTTGGACAGATTTGTGCTAACGAGAACACAAAGCGCTCCTCGTTCAGAGCCTGGACAGTCATTCTTTGCTCTGGTTCAGTTCGTGACGTTAAATAAGTCAGAGCGAGGCATCACGCTCTGGGTCAGCCAGTGCCTGGGCTTTGAAGAAAGCCCAAGACTCTGCTGAAGGCAGCGGAAAGCAGCCAGCGCTGACGTGCCAGCGTCAGCCAGGCTTCTGACATGATGCCGGCGGAACGTTTCATTTCCCCTGGAAATGAAGATAACATCCTTAATCAACTTACGTGTAATTGAATTAAATCACGGAGAATATGCATTCGCCAGATTCTCCTCAGAAGCTGGTTGCTTGGGTCTGAGAATTAGGGTGGAAAAAGGAGTTCTCGATGGACCCGTAATCACTGCAGACAGTTTTAGCACCTTCCCTCCCCAGGGCAACCTCTCAGGCAGCAAGAGCAGGGGCTGGTTCCTGCAGCCCGCGGGCACACCGGCAAGCCTTGGCAGGCTCCTCCTTCAGCCCACTTGCTCTCCAGGCTGTGACAGTGGCGGGGACCCCTATCCCACAGGATTGCTAAAACAGCCTCGTCACTGGCTCAGATGTAGGAAATGAAATGGCTGGCTGCTCTGCTTGTTCACCTGTTTGTTACTAGTAAATAGGTGAGAACTCATGTAAGTCTTTGAAGAAAAACAGAGCTAATGCTATTGTTGGAATGGAAAAATCAGCTTATAAGGCTTTCCCTCTGAGAAAACCATCGTCCATTGCTGGGTTTGGTTTTATACGACACTGGACTGTAGAGAGATGATGCTAACCACCACCAGCTGGGCCTGCAAACCTCCTGCTTCTCCTCCTCCCACAGGGAAAGCAAGACTTGAAAACACAAGTGTAGTCAGTTCCAGTATGGCTTCTTTTGGTTTGTTAGCATTCTTTAAAAACTCCTTTGTTTTCATGTCAGCTAAGGAAGCAATTTGATGCTTTTATAAATTAGTGTTTTCAAACACTCCCTGTGATCTTGGAGATCTGAAACTGTTACGCCTCAAGATAGCTTTGCTTCCAGAAGACCAGGTTTTCTGCAATTTCCAAGAATTAGCAATCCACAAGATGTCCCCAGTGCTCAAAACTGAGCCACTTAAAATCACTAGACTCATGAGGACTGGCTAGAGCGCCTTGTTGCACCAGTGTTAAACTTCGTTAAAGGAAACTGAAACAACTTGGTCACACGTTCTCTGGTTAAATGGTTACTGTAGCTCCTCACAGAAGGGGAAGGGTCTGCCAGTTGTCTAAAACAGAGTAAAGGCCTCTACACTATCGCTGCTTGAGACCCAATAGTCACCCATCACTTGCTTTGTCTTGATTCTGGGGAGCGCAAGGACTGCAACCTTTCCTGAGGCTTCTTTTTTTCTAAGTCTTACCACTTCTTAATTTAGCACAGTTCCAGATTTCTGGGATTTTAATAAAAATGGCCAATCAGTAATTTTACCTATCGTGTCCCTGCATATTAAGAATACTTTTATACTGGGTTGCCCTATTAAATAAAGACTGACCAGATGGACAATTCTCTGTCTTTCTCTCCTGGGTAGGTTACATCTAATTAAAAGCAGTTCTCTCCCTCTACTCCTACTGCACACTCTACGTATCATCCAGATGTCAGCACTGGTAATTTCAGCAAAAGCTCACCAAGATTTGGATAAAACTTGCTGCTGTTGTTTTGTGGTTTCCCCCCACCCCAGGAGAGGCAGGGAGCCAAAGTTCCAACTGAGCAAAATAAAATTAAAAGTAGATCATTCTTTTCTGTCTCAGTAGCATGTGGTATGGTATATAATGCATGTTCCCTGCTTCACAAAGGAAATGAAAGAATGAACTTATACGACTGATGAAATAAAGATATCAAAGTATTACTTGCCCCAGCTGATATGTACACTTCACATATAATTACTATTTAATATCTTTGTTTCCTACAAACCAGAAAACAAGCTTACCCTGTCCCCCAATTCCCTCTCCTTGTAAATAAGCTGATGCAGAATCTTCTAGATCTGCAGTTTCTACTTGACTTCCTTCTTGAATTTATACTCTTCTTTTCAAAGTAATGTGGTCTGCAAAATGAGGCTATTTAAAATCCTAAATGAATAAGTGTTATAAAAATAATAAATTAGTATACAAGACTGACTTGCACAAAACATATGTTATACTCTGAAGTATATTTAGATGGGAGCACATAATTGCCTGTTTCTTTTCTAATGGCCCGAAGCGCAGCGCTAAATCTGAACTTTTCCCAAAGTCTAGGCAGCCACGGCGCGCCGCCCCCTCCCTGGTTGCCGGCCGAGCTCAGGTCCCTGTCGCCTTTCACGTGCTGCAGCAGCCCCCATAAATCTCAGCTGGCCCCTGACCACAGGAACCGAATAGCAGCAAGTGGCCGTCAGCGAGGGGGAAGATGGGAAGAAGAGAGGGCAGTGGAAGTGCCGGCCAGGGCGGAGGGCAGCCAGCCCAAAGACCACACTCCGAGCCCTCACAGTTCAGGGCTGTCGGTCCTGCCACGCCGGCCTGACCTCAAGACATATGTTAGTCCCTGTATCCCTTGTGTTTGGCTCTCCCAAGCGCTCAGTACTGGAACGAGCCCCGTGACGCCTCTGGCCCTGCTACACTGCAGGAGTGCTGGTCTCCAGACCTCTTCCACCTTGGGGATGGACCTCAGACCCACGCTGCTGGTGGCCGTCTCCTGGAGAGGCATCTTGGACATGCCCTCTCGCAGGTCTCCAGCCCTGTCCCTGCCGCTCCCAGCAGGACTCGTGGCCTTGTCCATCCCCTCACCCCGCCGGGGGCTGGCACCAGCAGCCAGCCCTCGCTGCTCCCCGAGGTTACCAGCTGCCGGAGGAGTGAGAGGAGGGGCTCTGCCTCACGCTGGAGGATCACAGCCGTGGGCAGTAGGGATGCAACTCACCTGAACCACAAAGAAGTTACCAAAGATAATCAGTCACACTCTAACATTGAGTCATCTCCTTACTCCTCAAAAAAACCCCAAACACAGAATCATCTTTATTTCAATGTGTTTACAGATTCTGTTACTTTTACCTTTTTTTCTTTTCCCAAAAAACTTAGAGGTTTCAACAGAAGAATGTTTAAATTACTTTCCAAGGAATCCAGCTTTTTCCGAAACACTGACTGCGTGGAGTTGCACCGTATTTCACATCAGCGTGCTTGTCATGTTCACGGAAAAGGGAAGTGGTTACCTCCGACTTTCCAGGAAGTGCAACTTCTCTATCTGCCGAGGGAACCTGTTTCCTCCAAAGCAAAGTAACCAGCAGCAGCCCACGGGCACATCAAAACGAAGTGGGACCATCAACAGAAACACAAACAATTCACCCTGGAAAGTTCATTAATTGACAGGTAGCTCCCATGGAAACAGTGAGGTTGTTCCCAAACAGAGGTACTCGCATTAATTAGCTAGGTGGCAAAGTCCGGCCTTCATTAATTTTAACGAACTAAGCAGTCCTTCATCTAGAACCTAGAGCATCTCCAAAACCCAGTTTCTATCTTAGTGCTCAATGTCCAAAAGACAACCAACAACAACAAAGTGTACTTTGCAAGTGAGATGAATCTTCCTGTTACAAAAGCACTGAAACACACTCTCACATTTATAGGGCTAGAGCCAAAGAACAGCAAAATCCAGTGGGAGGGTGCTGGGAGGGCATGGCAGAGGGTCAACCTCACGGCCGGCACCTGATGGGAGGTGACGTCATGTAATGGGCTCTGTGTTTCTGAAAGTTCAGCAGCACAATTTTCCTCTAAATACGTAAACAGGCACTGGGTTTTCCCCCCAAGAAACCAGCAGTGCAATCAGAAGGAAAATCATGGCAAAAAAAGGGTCACTTTCCAGGAAAAAAATGTGAAAATATAGTCATGGCTCAGTCTCATTTTCTCTGTTGACACCTAAACCAGAAAAAGGCTGAGAGCCTTGGATGAAATACTTCCTGGGAAATTAAGACCTATTTTTACTACTGAGCACTGCATGTAGGATTTGGCTTTCTGTATATGTTGTTCCTCTGATTTTTTTTTCCCTATTCCGCTTTCCCATCTGTCCGAGGTGTTCTGTAGAGCAGCAGTGATTCAGGTGGTTTAACCAGATAAATAACCGAGTTATTATCTTTATGAAGCGCAGATCTCCTTGCAATAAATGTACCTTGTAGCTTGATTTACAGCAAAGTCTCCTCCTCTTACCTCCCTGATGAGACCTACTTAAGTCAGTGAGACTAGTCATGATGATAAGATAATTAAGTTTTTAGTACAACTCTGGTTAGTGAGCAGAATGCAGTTCTGAAATAATGAATCTACTAGCTCCAGTCTGATACTCAAAAGGTGTTGATGAATTCGGTATTATTCTTAATGTGCCCTGAGAAAAGTGTCTTTTACATTAAAACTGTAAACCTCGTATAGGACACAATCCAAATCACCTTTTAAATTAAAGAACTGCTTTTAGAATGGCAAAGTTGAAGTTCAGCCAGCATAGCTGTGACACCTGCAAACTGACAGTCAAACCCCCTACATTAAAATGCAAAGATTTGCATGAATGTGTTTTAAAATGACAGGAGACAGGAATGGGAGCTTCTAAGCAAGTTAGACTAAAATTTTAAGAGTGAAATGCCTAAAAATAGGCCTCTGAATGCATAGTTAGGCACCTATATAGAGGCTGCTTGATTTTCAGTTGTTCTGATCACCCAGAGCTCCCATTAACTTCAGGAGCAACTGTGGATACTCAGCTGTTCTAGAAATCAAGCCACCTTTATTCAAGGGTCTAAATATGGATGTCTGTGCCCAAGCTTGGGGGAAAAAATACCAAAAAAAAAGGTGGGTTTTTTTTGCTACAAGAGACATTTTATAAAAGAAAGTAATAGCCAAGTATCATTTTCTCAGGTTACAATGCTTGAAACTGAATCAACATAACAATTAATAGTGCAACACATATGGCAGATGATTTTGTCTGAGGTGAATGGAAAGCTATTCCAAGATCTGTAGCTCTTAATTACGATCTGAAACATTCCATAGATATTTCATATTCTGCGACTGCGAAGTGTTACCAGGCCACCTAAATCTTTTTCATAGTATTGCAGTGTTGCCATTAATATGCTTTTCAGGCTGGTCTGAGGAAGACTTTGCAAGATTAACTTCGCAAATCTGCAAGTATTAACTATTTAACTATTTTGTCTGCTTTTGGATCAAGTGCAACCGGAAGACTGGAGCATATTTTTGAATATTATAAAATATGAAGATGGGAGAATTAGGCCTTTAATTCTGTCGTATGCACTTGGTTGTCAGAAGACTTCTGAATGCTGTTTGCTTAAAGACCCTCTTTTGTAAAAGCAATCCTGAGTTGATTTTGTGCCTAAGCCATTGCCAGGTCATGCTGAAGTGCGTAAGAGCCAGTCACGTGATAGAAAATCTGCAAGAAAAAAAGAAAATTTATGGTGGAATTATGTATGAGTCTAAATCTGAGTGTCAAGGAAGTAACAAATTAAAGTTATGCCAAATGAAGACGATGGATATTTGTTTGTGTATGTGTGTGTGAGTGCATAAAATATGATGTAATATACCTTTACATACTCCTTTACAGGATCTGAACTAAAAGCTCTGCCTGCTTTTCTTGGAAAAAAAGAAAAAAGCAGAAGACACTTACTGCTTTTAACTAAGCTTTCAAAAAGAGCCAAGTAGAATAAAATGCTTTACTCTCACTGTAATCTGATTTTGATGACTTCAGGATTATTTTGTAATATTCAAAGTATCCAAAACTGCTTATGGTTTTATATGGCTCATTTAAAACTTTTCTTTTAACCGTACTGTCTTGGGGGCGGGGGGTTGTTATTCCCATTTTCTATTGTTTGATTCTTCCCTGTTTGTCTTATGGACTATAACGACTGGGACATTTTATCTTACATGGTTTTCAATGGCACGGTACAGCAGTTCTGGTCACAACTGGAGCCTTTTGCGATCCCTGGCAGATAAAAGGATGCCACCCTTAAGAAATCAGAACAAATCGCGCGACACAATCGCAGGCTGTGTTGTAACACTCAGCAGCGATGGCAGTGGCAACAAAAAAGCTTCTGCTGCTTTGTCATAGCCAGGGAAGGACAAGAGTAAGGCAGAGGCAGTCTGGCAGTGAAGCAAGCCAATATTATTCTCATTGCAGGAGGGAGCCAGGAGTTTTCAACGGTCATGAATATTCACCTGGCGTCTCTCAGCTGTTCTGTATTTCTTAAGATGTCAGTATTTCAGTTGATGAGGTGGGAAAAGGGAACAGACTGCTGCTTTTTTTCTCCCCCAAACCTCCTACATCTCATGTTCTCCCACCAGCACAAGGACTCTCAAACTCTTTTCCTGGTTAAAGCTAATGTCACCTCATCTCCAGGGTTTAATGAACATGGGAGCGAAGTTCAGCAGCCCTAATGGTTTTGTAGTTCCTGTGACACTACACTATTCTCAACTATGCTTTGGGATTGATCCCCTGCAGCAGTAAGGTAGGTCATGGGGAGATAGGCCAGAACCCCTCTTCCCTCCAGGAATGCACATTGCCACTAAACCTCATACACTCCTTGTCTGCCAGGAGACACAGCAACCAGCCTGCACAAAAATAAAAGCAATTAGGAAAATGAGGCTTTGTAGGAGGCAATTGTTTTTCTTCCCCAGGAAATAATCAATATGTAAAAACTTCCCCATCAGCAGTACCATATGTAGGATGAGACATGCCCTTCTCCACAGCATGGAAACACATTGTGACCGTTGCGGCACAGTGACACAAACGGTCTAGGAGGGTCAGCTGAACTGGCAACAGCTGGGAATGCAGGGGAGTGGACTACCATGCGTTTCCAAAAAGACTCTGTGTATGTACAAACTGAGATTTTCTCACTGCACTGCAAACATGGCCCACACAATTGCCAGCTGCTGGAATAGCAGAGTTCCAGATGCCTGTAATGACAGGCCAAATTTAAAGAAACCCTGGGCTGGAAGTGAACCTGTCATTAATAATGAATTCGATGTATGTTCTATTCTCTTTTAAACAGCACCAAAAAAGCATTTTCTGCAAAAACAGTAAGCCAGCACATATAGAAAGGTATCTTTTTTCTCTCCACCAAGCTGAAAATGGTTAACAACGAACCTGTTTCTCAATGTCTTCCAACAAACTACTGGCACCCAGGCGGAAGAGCTCTGGTGTTAGCCACTCCACTCCCAGTTCCTCCTTCACCAGCATAAGCCAAGTAATAGCTTCTTTTGCTGTCCGAATGCCCCCAGCAGGTTTAAATCCAACCTTTATATGGAAAAAAAGAAGTGCAATAGACATTTTCATTCATCAGCAACCCTAGAAGAGCAATCAGCATTTGTACACCTGCAGTCTCAAAGTGCCTGTGGTGTGTGTAACAGCTCTACTCTGGTAAATATCCGACTGCAAACAGTGTAAGCTCTGGACTAGTGCTGAGAGCTATCAAGCCTCAGACATCACTGCATAAGAGAACATTTTCAACCCAAGGGACAGCAGAGTGAGGGAGGAATACTTTTGACCCCAGTGCACTCTCAGGAGCAATGGCTGTGCTTTATAAAAGCCTGTGCACCACAGTTATACATGATGAGGCTGTACATTAAAATTTTCCAAATGGGAATTAAATTAGGTCTGTCTTTACCAAAAAAATTGAAAATTTTGTGCTTCACGGGAACTGCAAAATATCTCTCCCAAAACATGCTGGACACGCTTTTAGTTGCTTGATGTGAGATATGTGTGATATTTGGTGAGGTAAACTGCCATGTATATACCGGCCCACACACCAAGAAAAACCCATCTTTGAGGTAAAGCACATCTTGAATCCCATGGCCAACCTGCAGTCCAGCACTGAGGTGATGTGGCACACAGCCCTAGTGCCAGTGGTTCAGTTACACAGCCAAACACATCTCGTTCTGAGACACAGCTCGTGACACACAGCTGTCAAACCCTGCATCAAAAGTTTTTTCACCTGCATTAGTCAAAGTGTTGGCCAGCAGCAGCTTACTAAACTCTAGAAGGACAAGGAGGATTAGGAAAAAGCTTTACTGCATTAGAAAAAAAAAAGAAAAAAATTAAATGTGAACAATCTGCACAGTAGCACACAATGATTCTACATCTCCCTCTGCCATAAAACTTTACCCTGGGTATCACTTCCTGTCAGCCTCCTTCTGCAAGGACTATCATTCTGATTTCTGTATATACATTCCTGAAAACTCACTGCACCAAGGATTTCTTGTACCTTATGGGTATAATAGTAGAATCAAAAAATACCTATTTTGAAATGTGTTTGGTATTTTTTTTTACAGAGATCTCAGGACAAACAGATTAAAATCCTTCTCTCACACTGAAACGTTCTGATAACAGCATATTTCCAATAAGATTATAAAGAACAATAACAGGAAAAGGCTTGATAAATCCAAAGCGTGAAGACTGTATTTTTGTGGATGGATGGATGGATGCATGCATGCATGAGCATATGCATACATCTGTTAACATTAGATTTCCAAAAGGAATTTAAACCACAGCAACTGGGAAAACGTATTCTAGACAATGAATTAAAATAGTGGAAATGTGTTTTCCCTCAGGAAGAGAAATTCTAATCAAATTCAAATTTAGATTTCTTCCTAGAAATATTATAACTCTCTGAGACAATCTGTGGCAAAACCAAGTAAAACACAGTTAGTAAGAGAATTAAAAACACCATGCAGAATTCCTTGTCCTTTTAGCAAATTCTGAAAGCTCTTTTCTTTGCAAAAAAGCTGACAAAGACAAGCCTGTCCTCTCCTCCGTTTACCAGCTTTCCACCACATCTGACTGCCATAAAAACGCAAAAAGGAAGCTGGGGGGGGAGATTTAATTCAAGAGCAGTACAAAGTCCAGCTACCACTTTCCTGCTATTTCACAGCATTTCATTATTTTGCTTAATAAGTTCATCTCCTCAAGAATTTTCTCTTCACCTTATATTATTAAAAGTAATAAGTTTTTCTGGATTGGGGGTTTTCCCAAAAGAAAAACCAATTTATGTATGTCCTTCAATAATGACAGGAAAAGATTATTTCCCATTATATTGCACACTTTTCATATCACCACCACAGCTTATCATTCAATAAATGTTACTCTGCAACTTGTTCCTTTCCTCGAAGAAGTTTAATTTCTGTATTAACCTGTTTTCCCCAGCCAACGCCTTGCTAGAAAGCACCCCTATAGCAGCAAAATTAGTTTGTTAAAGAAAGCATTTAGAAATCTCTGGTCACTGATAATATTGTCTTCGGTTAATAAAAGCACATAAAGTCAGTTTACATCTAATTCACTGACACACACATGCACACAGACATAAGCACTCATTCTTAATAGCACATTTTATACCATGAATGCATCCTTTTAAAGCAAAAGGTGAATTCAACATTTATATCCAATTATAGGTACGAAGCTGCGTCAATGCAGCACAGCCCAACCTCTGGCACCCAGCTCAGGTAAGCAGCACCAGTACCAAGGTGACACCTGTGCCGAGGTGTCACCCGGCCCCAGGGACCTGCCTGGGGCTGGCAGCAGCGACGATGCTCCTGCAGAAGCACGACTACCAGAGCTGCTCAGGCTGTTGCGTGGCAGAGAGAGATGCCAGCCGGGGAAGGGAAGAGTGAGGGCAGCCCAAGGGTCCACGCTGGCAGCACCTAGGTGACGGGAGAGCAGGAGGACACAGGTCTAACCTGCTGTCATGTGCTCCTCAAGCTCCAACAGCCCCTGAAGCCGTCTCAGCCCTTATCCCACTGCTCATCCCATGTCCTAACATTACTCCTCAAAATGCCACCTGCAGAAGGGACAGAAGAGTGAGCTAGAGAGGATGGAAAGGTGACCCAGCAACAGGGAGTCTCAGCTGGAGGCACAGTCCTCCCCTCTGAGGCTGCAGGTGAGGACAAAGCCCACTGCCAAACACCCGCACCTGATCTAACCAGTAGCCCCACTTGCCAGTCGATAAGGGAGGTGAGAGGTGGCTTAAGCCTTCCTGGATAACCTCCTCCTTTCTCCCTGCTCCAGTGCAAGGATGGAGGCACGGATAGTTCATCACTGGCTCTGTTGTATGCTCCCTGCTGCTCCTCGCCTCCACTGACCTCACTTAACAGTGACCTGACAGATAAATGGGGTGTCCCAGGATGTAACATGGCCCTGTCCTTCCCTCCCTCTATCCCAGACAACAGAATCCAACTGGATCTGCCTTCTTGTCCCATTAGAAAGTCCCCCTGGCAAGGGAGTAAAGAGAAGAATTTATCCCTTGGGTTGCCAGAACAAAGTCAGAAAATACAGTTGTGAACACTGGACAGACTCTCGATGGCTATAAATCTGTACAGCCCCACCAAGGTTTATGGGAGTTGGCCAATCACTGTCAGCTTGAGATTTGCATTGTTGTTAATTGAGATGACCATTTAAATACCTTAAATGGTGAAACAAAGCTCAAACACAAACGCAGCCGGGGATGCAAGATCGCATGAGATTTTAGGGAATGAAATGACAGTTATTCAAGGGAGGAAAGCCAAAAGTGCTTGCATTTTTTGTTTTGTTTGATGGTTTGTGGGTTTTTAAGTATACAGTCGTTAGACAATCATGTGAGGAGTACAAGAAAGAAGTCCCACTACCTACTGCTTATATAGCCGCAGAAGCTAATATATGTGGATTTATATGTTTTGCATTTTGAAACTGCTACAGTCTTATTTCCTTCTGAGTGAGGCCGTTTCATTAATTCTTATAAAGGTAGCGAGAATTACCTTGTGGCCAGTCTGCCAGTAGAATTCTCTAATGGCTCGCATCATGACTACTCCGACTGGAAAGGTCGCGTTTTCCACTTCCTTTCCTGTAGATGTCTTTATAAAATCAGAACCTGAAAGGAAGTAGAAAGCTTTATTGTAGTTTTAGAAAAAGAGCCACTCTGCACATATACGGTTCACGCCCTCCAAGGAGGTCTATGTGCTTCATAGCAATTATGAAGCATTCCTTTACACGTACATCCCTGCGGTGTCAGTGCTGACCTTGCTCTAGTCGAGGCTAGAACAGGAGGATGAGATACCCATCCGGTTTCAGAGCAAGTCAGACATCCCAGGGGCTAAATGAACACCCCAGCTCTTAATTCTTTGCTCTAGCTATCAGATCAACAATCTCTTCTGGATAGTCCGCTATTCTATAAGTTCCTGTATGGACACTCAATATATGACGAATGACAACCGTGGAAATTATTTCCTCTGAACAAATTTTGCTTATAAATCAACATTCTAGTATTTCCACAAGGATCCTTCTGAACAGAAACAGTTTTCATCATTTTTTTTTTAAATTTAACTTTGCATCCATTTATTCTCACATTTGACAGTCTAGTATTGTGTTTCCCACAGCTGTTTGAAGTGAAAGAAATCCCATGTGTAGTTACAAAACCAGATGTGTAATACTGTAAACAGGGGAAAAACTCCCTTCTTACGCATTTTGCAATGGTAACATTGCAAATTATTATACTTGGTCTGATATAATGCAGTAGCAAGGACAAAACATCTGTTTTAAAGAAGAAGAGTTAGCCTTGGCTTATTTTTTTCTGGTTTCTCACTTGTGAACAATATTCTTTGACACCTACCCTGAATACTTGTGTAGTGTTCTTGTGCATTCTTGCTCTCTGGGTTGGATTAAAATGAATCCTGCAGCACAATAAATTTGCCTTGCAGTGCCTGATCCTGCATTGACACCATACAATGACAAAACTTCTCTAATTGCATTAGGGCGCACTTCATCCCTGGGAACCTACTTCTTAGAAAAGGTGTACTGTGGGATCATTAATTATCAAAAGTAATCGGGAGAAGAAGAGGGATAATTCAAACATCGTGTAGTAGTGCATCATCCACTTAAGTCAATTGGAGCTGCATCTGCTTCCACTTCAAAATTGGCTTAGGGTCCGTTCTGTCTCTTACTTGAATGATGATGCCTCTACAACATCCCCTAGAGTAAGCAAGGGAAATTTCACTACTGGTTCAAACCAAGGAGTTGCCTAGACTACATTCTGACGGTGTGCTGCGGCACACTCCGGAGACCCACATTCCTGATGACCTAGCACAGAGCTAGGTCTCGGCCTGATGGGAAGCTAAGACAAAGACAGGCATGTTCCGAGCCCTGTAATTTAAACATCATCAAATGGTATCACCAACACTGCCCTGTATGACCACGGTTTTCTCTGCAGGCTTCCTGTCCAGGCACTAACTGAGCCCAGTTGTGTGATTCAGTTGCACTGTCCTATGACAATTCCCATCCTAAACAGAAACAGTTATTCAGGGAAAAAAGTTTCAACTCCAAGGAAGGTGCAACGTGCAAAAGAGGCAATTAATAGTTGATTGAGCTCTGCAAAGAATGGAGCACATCAAAGAGACAATTGAGCTACATATTTCAGAGTTACTCCCTTCCAGAGAGACACTATGGACATCTGATAGTCACATTAAAACAAATAGCAGTGAAAGTGAAACTTTAACACTGCTAAATTATATTTTTAATTTCCCTTTTGAAATGTAGCACTTAAAGTCCTTCAGCGCAATACTTTTAATTTTTTTCTAGTCTAAGGTAAGTCAAAGCTTTTATAAGTCTTATAATTACAAGTCTCTATGGTACAGTTTCATTAAAAACTTTCATTAAACAACAGCTGCCCTTGTATATGGTCTTCTAATCAATTTGGTCAAACAGAATGACTTCTAATCAGCTGTTGATAAAAATAGAAGATGAAATTTTAATTCTAATAGATTAACCACAAACTCAAGATAGTCTTCAAAATCCATCTAGCTCTATTCTCCAGTGGATTTAACGACTATTCAGCAACTCATTACTAAATAGAACAAGATGAACATTTTCCAGTTCATTAAAGAAATGTACTATGTATTTTTGCATTGTCCTCATGATTCGTTACAGGGAGTCTTAATTACAAGATAATGGATAATGGTTATTAAATGCAGACTCCAGTAATGAAGCTCTATTCATTTGCGAGCCTCAGAGACTGCAAAGAGGGGAAAATAAAATTACTAGCTTCAAAAGATTAACGGATCAAATTATTATTCAATTTTGAAAATCTCATTCAGACTTCATAGAAACAAGAAGAGATTAAAAACTAGTATTAGTACAAAAGTAGTGCATTTATATATTTATTTTTAAATAATATCTTAAGGCTATTACCAGAATAATCAGCTTTAGATGTGATTATTAGACAAACATACAGCCAATTTAGTAGCATCCTCTAACAATGAAAACAATACATTTTTATTTCCTGCACAAATTCTATTTATGACACAAGAGCTTGCTAGCAGGACTGCATGCAGCCTCTCGCCGAAGATGCACACTAGCACAGAGTGCCACAATGGAAGGTACTATTAACGTTCAGATTTCAGGAATGAAAAGGGGGATTTAAAAATCAACCACTGCTGCAAAAAGCACCTCATTAAGAAGACTTTATGCCAACCTTGTAATAATAAGGGAGTTTCACCAAATCTATTTCTTATTGGAGTTTTCAAAAACAAGTCTAAGGAATGAAGTTCAGC